ATGATTCAAGGAAAAAATAACATGGTTCAACTTAGAAGTGTTTTTTTTAGATATACAAAGAGACATTTTGCAATCAGCCTTATCTTTAACAGACAAAATCCCGAAAGTTAGTTTTTAAGGCTTTATTTCTGATTATTGAAACAATTGTAAATGGATCAAAGTATGAAAAAAATATACATATCAGAAAGTAGTTTTGGGCAAATTACCCAGAATGATTATAAATTGAACTATGGATTTGTAGACTCCTCTGGTATTTCTGGTGATTTGGATTCATCTAATGCAATACTAACGTTTGTAGAATCCTCCATTTTTGAAAAAAGTTCTCTTCGGATTTCATGCAATTTCTCTACAAACATTCTTATCATCTTATCAATAGTCACAACATACAAATTAATAAATTTGGTTGAAAGCGATTCTGTGGCGTGCAAAAACCTCTCAAGAACAAATGACTCCATCAAATAAATGGCTTCTTTTACGGTATTATCTTCTGTCGCAGTTTGTTGACTATTTTCTAAGTTTCTGGATTTTTTCTTGATCCCCTTCTCACCTTTTTCAATCGCCATTTTCAGTTTTTTGACCTCCATCTCCTTTTCGATTAACTTTGTCTCACAATGAAGAAACTGGTTTATCCAATCGATTAATCGATCGTTGTTTTCAAATATTGTTTCCTTTAACTCTATATTTTCAGCGTGATGTTGCTCCACGTCAGATATCCAGATATCACGCTCCCTTTTTAGTTCTTTCAGAGGTTCTTCTGTACGTTGCACTCCTTCTAAATCTGATGCCATAGTTGTTACAGAAGGTATTTTCGCAGGGTCATTCTCAAAAGTGATATTAATTAGAAGTGGTGTGGGGTCTTCGAATTCTGACAAAATGGCGTCGTTTTCTTTTATGACCTCTTCCATTTCTTGATACTGAGAAAGAGTTGTTTTATGCTTAACTTCAATATTTTTCATATCTTTCAGAAAAAGATGGTGGCCGTTACGAGTAATTAATTTCTGCCGGTTTATGAATTCTTGGAATGCATTTTGCTGACTCGTGAGGGCTTCAAGAAGCATATTGTCGTCTTTTATCTTGATATCCATTTTCTTTAAATCTTCCTTTAACGAAACAGATTCTTCCAAGAGTTGTAAGTTTCTCGTCTTTGAACAATCCAGTTTGGAGCGTAGATGTAATTTTTCGTTCATGGCATTTCGAAGATCCCTGTCCACATCATGATACTTGTTCTGCATTTCTTGATTGTTCTTTTCATTCTGTAGAAGCTGGTTCAGTTGAAGTTGCAGCCTATCCGAATCTTCTTTCAATTCTTTGTTCCGAATTTTCCAGTATTCGAATTTGCTTTTGATTTTACAGCAGTTTTCGTACAACCTAAATTTTTCTTGTTGGTTTGATGGTATTTCCAAGACTACAGCCTGGATTTTGATTTTCTCGATATTTGAATTTTCGGTACAATGACACTCTGGCTGTTGTGGTTGCTCAGATAGACCATCTTCTAATTCTCGAATATGGAGTCGGACTTTGTCGATCTTTTGCCTAAGATAGATTGCTTCCTCTTCTTGTCCCTTAAATTCTTTTCTTTGCTCTATTCGTTCTAAGCTTGTCTCTGGGAATTCTCTCTCCATAACTTTATTTGCACGGAGCAGATCTCTTCGTAACATTCGGTTATGGTTTTCAGTGTCAAAAATTGAATACTTTAATTGTTTTATCCTTTCTCTCAATTCGTTTATAACTTTATTTTCTTGATTCTAAATATAAAAAAAATGTACTAATAATGTATGTTACCGGCAAAGTACGAAAATTACATAAAATGACGAAAATTGACCTGCACATTATAGAATAATGACGACTAATACTAATAGAATAATGGATTTTCTAAATTACTTAGGTATTATATGGTCCAAACGACAATTTGGCAAAACCCGATACATTTTAATTCCATATTCTTAATTAATGTAAATATGATTCATTAATACTAGGTGAATGCAATTTCTTGGTACAACTAAAATGGTTCGGATTTTATTTTTAAAGTTAAGGGTCCCCTCCAAGTATAATCTTGCCTGGTCTTACATTTGATGCTATTTAAAGGAAAATGGATGTTTTTTGGTATATACTTGCCCAACATTTTGAACGCCGATGTTTTTCATAATCAGATATTAATAATAATGCATGCCCGACATTTCAAACACTCATGTTTTTTGTAATCAGATATTAATAACAACACTTGCCCGACATTTCCAACACCAAAGCCTTTCATAATCAGATATTATAATATCAGTCAGATAAACCAGCCAGTTAATTACATTTTGTGTAAAAAAATTATAAGATAAAAAAATCATACAAAATTTTATTTTTCTTCGAACCTCAATTTAGGAATATGTTTTCAAAAAAAAGAAAGTAAAGAAAAAATTGCACTCTGTATCTTTCTCCATGATTAGCATCCACTAAATAATACTTTGCTTAAAGAGTATTTGCCATTCCATACAATGTTTAGGAAAAGCATATATAATAATTCATACATAGCCTAAAAGCGCCAGATTCATTATCTTGATTTTAAAAGATATAATAGCTGCTCTTGGTTCGCTTATATAAAAGTTTGAAAAAGTCAAATAAAACCGCTAATGTTTTTGTTAAACGTTAGTTTTGAAGTTTCTTCTGGAAAATTTGCAAATTAATTAATTTGTCTTACTTCTTTATATTTAAAGAGCTGAATCAGTTAAAAAAAAGCAATTTATCCAATTGGTCTGTAAAAAAACCGCACTTCTTTTACATATTACTTGACTTTGATAAGAACGCGAAATTTATGAGAAACTCTACTGAATTAAGGATAAAGCATATTATTTTAAAATTTATTATTTCTTAGTCTAATTAAGAAAACTTCACTGCAATTTTTTTTAAACTGAATTATTTTTTATTACTGAATTATTTTTTCACTAAATTGTTTTTTGGACGATTTTATAATTAAATTATAAAAATATTTGAAGAAATTATGAAACAATGATTTTAAAGCATGCTGTTCATACGCCTTGCTCAGTAATAAATGTTTCGTTTTTATTAGTTTTTTTTTAAATAAACAGTACAATATAATAAGGAACTGGAAGAAAAAATAAAGTATAGACTCTTTTATTTCAAAAATAAAGCATAATCAACATACCTTTCCTACAAACATGTTCTATTTTTAGTTTGGATGAAGATGCTATGTTCAAAATGCTTTGAGTTTTATACTGAAGCAAATATATGCTTACAACTCTATATATGCTAACGATGAAGGTTTTTTATAATAAGGATTAAAGTAAACAATTACTTCAACTTGCTCATTTGCTTGTTTACTAACTATGCATTGGGTTTATAAAAACACGTTTCAAAACAACAAGATCTTCTAAAAAAATTTCAAAACAGGGACGGTATGCATAAATACTTTTTATAAAGTAATAAGCTAACCATATTATACTAACCATGATGCAAAGAATTGTTAGACCAAGTCAGTTTACATAACAAAATTCATTTATGGAAATTATTTAAATGTAATCCCTGACTAAGTATACTTTTTGTTATTCTTATTAAGTTAGATGCTTTTCTTTCATATCATTTATCTACTCCTTCTTTATTTAGTTGAAAAGATTAGTATATTGAATACTTTGGCGTAATGAAGTATCTTTTGGTTATGGAATTTTTTGGAAAATCGCCAAACTATTATTATTGACACCAGTGATGCTTAATTAATTGTAATAATAGGTACCTAGTGAGCCGTGATGGCTCAGGGAGTCCTCTTTCCAATGAGGTGAACCGGGATCGAATCCCAGCTATCGCTCGTCGATACGAAGTCTGCATATGCTTGCACCGACCACCTTACTGGCGTAAAATACCCTCAACGGTATACGGATCATGGGTTACAGTTCCCTTGCCGTCTGGCTAACCGTAGAAGGTTTTCCTTTCCATGTACCGTAAATGCGGGCTAATTTCCTCAAAAAGTTCTCCGCGAAGGCAAATTTCTCCCATTACTTGATCCAGTAGTTCCCTTGTCTTCCGGATTGAGTTCAAAATTACAAGGCTACGGCGTTGAGTATTGGTAGTAAATGGTTATAAAATAAAATAAAATACAATAAAATTGGTACTTAAAGGTGTGTTAATTTTCGGAAAAAAGTACTTTTAGTCATAACTTCTAACTGTTTTGTTTTGGAAAAAATAACTATATGTAACAGCCACTATTTATTTTTATTTTAATGCATATGATTTTTGAGAAAAAAAAGACATGTGTCTATTGTTGATAAGGTGTAATAATCACATAGTACTTCTTCTGAATCAGATAGAGTTAAGCTGTTTTGACCAAGAAATTTAGAAAATTTAATGCTCAGTAAGAATTACTGAGATAGTAGCAATAGGCACCTAGTATTCTAACTTGGATAACTTTTAACTTTGGGATTCTTTGCAATTTGTATACAAATATTACAAACAAAAATGAAGCAGAAATATTAAGTTTTGGTACTTTTCGGTCAGCCGCGCAAAATGGAAATTTAACTTGTTATTAACTTGATATTTAACTTGTTAACTTGTTATTTTTTGTTTAATTTTAAATAATATTTTTTTCCATTTTATTTCATTTTGATGTGTTGAAATAATAAATGAAATAAAAATATGAAAAAATGTTGGTGGAGATCTATTTTTTTTGCGGCTTTTTACTTGCACTCGGCTTACCGAACAGTACCAAAGTCTTTAATTACTCAGAGAATTATAAGTCCTTTAATTGTTTGATGCATGTTTTACACAGAAGTTTTTAGTTCCTTCTTGCATTCTTAATTTGGTGTACTAATCGGTTTTAAGAACCATGAAAACAAGTTTGATAATGTTCATATTGGCGACAACTTGGAAAAGCACTCGCAAACATGGCCCCTGCAACCAATAACATTGAATAAATCGAATTATCTTGTGTAAAAGTAAATTACATAAATCACACGTTTTATTTTTCTTTTCTTTCTAAATAAGGTTACGTTATTTTTATTATTATTATTTTGCTTTCTTATAATCCCTCAAGGGGTTTAGCTTTCATCGGATAAATGAGATGTTTTTATTATTAAAAATAGTTTAGAACAGGATGTCAAGTAGAAACAAAGCAGCAGGGAGTCATTCGTCACTGGAAAAAATAAGACAAGGTAGAAAATCCTGGAAAGAAGTCACCAAAGCAGAAAAATATTTTTTTGAAGTAAGTAAGGAAAATTGTTTCCTAGAAAAAATTTATTTGGTACATTTTCCGTTTGTGAATTTTTATTATAGAATTTCTCGATCAGTCGAAAGCCAACAATTCTGCCAACAATTTTTTTTACTTATTTTTTTTTTATCTATTGGCAAAATGGGTGTTGTTTTTGGTTTGATGACGTGCGCACCTTATTCGTACTTCATCACAATTTTCAACTGTATTCAAGAGTAATAGTAAACGCTGCGCATGCGTCGTCATTCCACGCGTTGCTATGGCGATCGCTGCTGTTTGATAATTTTTTTGTGTTCTTTTTAACATTCACTTGTTTGCGATTATAATATAAATATGAATACTAAAAATGGAAAAGAATTTCGTAACGTCTTATGAAACGTATATTAATCGGAACTGAGAACCAATCCAGCCCACTCGATTACAAGAGTTCAAAAATCAATTTATGCAACGTCTAAAACCCATGACTTAAAAATGTGACTTTCATGTAAGACTGCTCAGGAAAAAAAAGACATTAGACCAATGGTTAACCAGTGATTGCAATAGAGCGATCACAGTTCTTTCTTTCTTTTTTCTAATTTAAAAATTCGCTTCTTTTTTTTCTGACGATGTTTTAGAGCTTCTACCATAATCGACCAAAAGAAAGTGGCCGTCACAACATACAAGCAGATTGAAGATTCAAACTGCAGTGACTCAGAAAATAGAGCGTTCGCCTCCCAGTGAGGTGAACCCAGGTTCAAATCTCAGCGTAAAATGGTCGATGAGAATTCTGCTCCCGGCTCGCACGGACCATAGAGCTCACGTAAAATATACTCAGTGGTAAACATGTGATGGTTTGAATCGCCTTGCCGTCGGAATGGGTTTTCTCTCCACGAAGACTAGTTTGTCCCAATGCTTGATCTAGGAGTTCTCTTGTCTTCTGTATTGGATTCAAAATTAGAAGGCTACAGAGTTGAACATTGATAATCGTAAACTCACTCAGAATTGGGTCGGCTTTCAACGTCGGTTATAAAACCATTTGTGTCGGTTATATATATACATATATATATATATATAATGTTCAAAATGAAGAATAAAACAGAGAAAAATAATAGACATATGAAGAAAAAAAAAGGGGGGGGGGAATAATAAGTAAAAAAATAACAAACTATACTTTAAAAAAAAAAAAAAAGGATTAAATTTTATTTAAAAAACCGGAAGAAAAAAAAGATATAATCTTTTCTTCAGCCCACACGATTATATCCACAAAACAGAGTGATTTCTGATATTGTATCAATAAAGCCGAAGCAAAATATATTAATACAATAGTGTGAGGAGCACTCAAAAATTTTTTTATAAAAAATAACAGCAAATAAAATAGATCACAGAAAGTAAAAATAAGTATCATGTAAAAACAGAAAATAAAATAAAATAAAATAAAAAGAAGAAACATTAAAAAGGGGACTATAAAGCGAGTAGCAAAATCACTTTTGTGATCTATTTTATTTGTTATTTTTTGTAAAACAATTTTTGAGTGCTCCTCACTCTATTGTATTAATATATTTCGCTTCCGCTTTATTGATACAATATCAGAAAGCACTCTGTTTTGTGGATATAATCGTGTGGGCTGAAGAAAAGATTATATCTTTTTTTTCCGGTTTTTTAAATAAAATTTAATCCTTTTTTTTTCTAAGTATAGTTAGTTATTTTTTTACTTATTATTCCCCCCCCCTTTTTCTTCTTATGTCTATTATTTTTCTTTGTTTTATTCTTCATTTTGAACATATCTAATGAGTTCTGTTTGCTTGCTGCTTCAGCGTATTAAATGAAACTTATTGTTTTTCCTAATTTTCTTCGTGTTTTCTTGTATATATATATATATATATATATATATTATCTAAAGAAGAAGGCAAAACTTGGTATTTAATTATAATTCCAGATTGAANTATATATATATATATTGAAAAAAGTATTCCAATTATAAATCAGTCCCTTGATTGATCATCAACATGTTTGACGCACGCTTCGACATCTTATCCTGTATATTTTTTTAAGCTTACAATAACTTATTTTTAAAGAAATAAGTTACAATAAAGGCCAATAAAAAACATTATAAATGTTCTTTTATTGTTATAGAAAAAAAGAACTTCTCTATGAACCAATATTTAAATACACTTATGTTTACACTTTAATAAGAGTAGTATATTTGCACTTATGCACATTTTTCACACTTTATAAGCAATATTTACACTTTATTTATGAACACAATATTTTATGAACGCAATATTTACACTATAACAAGAGTAGTCAAATCTAAACGCCAATAACGGAAAAATGGTAAACGAACCTCCGTGCAATCCACCATTTGTGAATTAGTTTCGCTTCCGAAAACGTCAATTTTGGCATACTTTGGCCTACAGATTGCTTACAATCGAGTAACAGATGGCGAGAATTTGTTGCTCTCTTCGATGCAGCTAAGCATTTGCGGAAACAAAAACTCATCGTTTTAAAATAAATGCATGTTTTTAGTTGTGTAATACGGATAATTGTACTTTAAGTTTGTACTTTAAGTTGTACTTTAAGTTAAGTGTACTTACTCGTATGCCTGTCAACTGTATTTTATAACCATCGTGAACAGCGCACCCAATTTTGAGTTTACGACTACCAATGTTCATCTCCGTAGCTTTGTAATTTTGAACCCAATCCAGAAGACAAGGGAACTCCAGGGGATAAATTTTGCCTTTCTGGAGGGCTTTTTGATGACAGTAACCCGCATTTGCGTTATATGGAAATGAAAACCTCGAAAACTTCCTACGGTTAATCTGCCGGCAAGGTTTTAACCCATGATCCATCTACCACTGAGGATATTTTTCGTGAACACTACTTTCGATGCGATCCGGGTTCAAAGTTCGTATCAACCAGCTATTGCCGGGATTCGAACCCGGATAACCTCATTGGGAGGCGAACGCTCTATCCCCTGAGCCGCCACAGCTCCGTATTAAATGACTTTATGATATTTAATTTTTATTTGTTTCCGTTCTGCTAAGCCTAGTTCGAATTCCTCTTAGTATTTTCAGCTACTTTACGCCAAGAAGTGTAAAAACACATTTCTGGTACTTCACTACACTAGGAACTATCCCTTGTTCTTGGTATAATAAAACATTTATTATCATCAACAAATTGCTTACAAGTCGTGCGTTTGTTGTTGTTTCTCACATTGCTATACATCTTTAGAAAGAAAAAAAGTTCACTGTTAAAAAATGGATCTTTATTTTTATTTGAGTAATAAGAATGCAATTAATTGAGTAATATTTTAATTTTCTAATATTTGTTAATTGTATTAAATATCTCTGTAATGTTTAATTTCTATCCATTTATGTTCTGTTAAGCCTATTTCGAATTTGTCTTTTTGTACTCTCTGATATATGTTTGATTAGCAAACTAAATTAATCTTAAAAATTTGGGCAAGAATGCATCCCAAATTAACGGTTCTTAATTTAAATTGTATCTTAAATAACTTTACTGACTAACAAGGGAAACTAGGGAAGTGTGACTCGCCAATTTTGAAATGAACTAGTGGGATGTGTGCCTTATGAGGAATAATTTTAGGGGGAAACATTCGTTTCTGCCCATAGAAGGTTCTGTGAGAGATGAAAAATAATTCAATATATGGAAAAATCATTATTTTATTACTTTAATGCAGACTATTAGTTATTGTCTCATACTCCAATTAATTTGGTAGTACTTTCACGTACTATATAATGCATATTTATTGTCAAAATTGATTTCGAAAATTTTATATATCTGTAGTTTTTCAGAAAAACCTGTTAGGTTAATTTAAAAAAAAAATTTGAATTCAAATTTTTTTTCCAAAAAACTTTTAAAATTAATTGGAGTATATAATTGCAAATCAATTAATTAATTAACAATTTATTAATAACGAATTAACAATTTATTAATAATTAATTAATTTTCTGATTAATTTATCAATTATCAAATTAATTAATTATCCAATTAATTACAAATTAATTGGATTATGAGACAATTACAATAACTAATAGTCTGCATTGAAGTGATTAAATACCGATTTTTCTATATATTGAATTATTTTTTATCGCTCACAGGACCTTCTACGGGCCGAAACGATTGTTAATTAATTTATTAATTAGCAAAATAATTAATTATCCAATTAATTGGATTATGAGACAATTACAATAACTAACAGTCTGCATTGAAGTAATAAAATACCGATTTTTCTATACATTGAATTATTTTTTATCTCTCACAGAACCTTCTATGGGCCGAAACGAATNTACACTACTTAGGGTGTTGAGTTGTTGCCACCTTTTACAAAACACTAAACTATTTTACAGTCAAGTGTATCAGGAAATAACAATTTGCTTTGTCTATTACAGGGAAATACAGGAAAAGCTTTGCCTATACTTTTCAGGTATGAAAATTGTGAAGCGAGGGCTATGCTATTTCTAGCCTACATGTACTTTGATGGTTACGGAGCGGTTCAAGACATGGTAAATGGTGACTTTAACTGTTTTAAATCAGGAGGAGGGGTTTTCTATACTAGGGAGCACTGCACGCTAGGGAGCATGATGTTCAAATGAAGTTCTTATGCAACTATTGTTTCTAAGCCTCAGTTGTGATTTTGTTATTTCGATGAAATATTTCGTCATTATTACTATTCGCATACATAGATGCAGAACTAACTTATCGAAAACGATGTGTGCTAGTTTATTAGGACCATTATAAAAGTGCCACAATATGAATTTTTTTTTTCAAATAATGTTTTTTTCTTTGCAGCCGAGAGGAGTGTCGTATTTGCAAAAATTAATCAATTTTGAAAATTACCGCTCAGGTGAAGAAGGATTATTAGCTATTGCTTTGTATCAATACGGTGAACTTTGTTTTAAAGGGTTTGTTTTGCCTAAAGATGATGCTTTGGCCAAAAGGTACATTTCAATACCTATTTTATGTTCTATAATTGAAATAAAATTATGGAGATTCATGCATCCAATGTCATGAATGTGGAAAATATAATAACTGTTCCTTATGTATGCTTGTGAAGTTGCATTTTCTTGATAATGGGCAGTTCTTAATACATAACACTGACCTAAGCCTTAAGCTCTGACAACGGTTAGGTTTAAAAATTAATTCACAGTAATTTTTTAGAGTAAATTTGTGTTTCTGTCCAGTGACAGGAATTAAATATAAATTTTTTCGAAAGTTTTTTTTTTATAAATACCTTTAAAAAACAATGAAAAATATTTGATGCATATAAGTAATTAGTAGAATTCAAAATCGGTAATTATAGATTAAGCGTAGATGCATGCGTAAAACACTAGTGTTTATCTTTTAAAAAATGTTCTTATTATAAATAGAAACAAATTTGTGCAATATAGATAATTTTTTTCGCTTGCCTTATTTCTACCTTGACTCCAACTTACGTGAGCAAATTTTTTATAATGACGGACGAATTTCATGTATGGTGCTTTTTGTAGCAAAATTGAAAAAATAGAAAAGTTGACCTTCATAAACAAACATAAATAAGAATTGTTTATCAAAATAAAACCAATTATAAGGAACAATTTTTTTATTTTTGGCGGAAGGTTAATGCATGTGTTAATTTTGTTTATTTTGAGGTTTATATTTTTAATATATTGGGTGTACAAAGTAGTTCGGTCCGTTTTTAAAAAATGGCTCTACTGTAATGAATGTTATATAGTGACAGCTGGTTTCGGTGGTTTCAGAGAGGTTAAGCATCTGTCAATAATATTCAGTTTACCTCACTTTGAGTTTCATACAAAAACCCTGTTTTTTACTTTGTTGAATATGTCACATTTTGCGGTAATGAAGCACCATTTGCGGGAAGTTTTATGTTTCTGCCTTAATAGGAAGGAAAGTGCAGCTGAAGCGCATTGAATGCTTGTAGAAGTTTATGTTCACAATGCTCCAACTGATAAATCATGTAGGGAATGGCTTCGACGTTTCACGAATGGTTAATGGTGAATAAAGAATGGTAAATGGTGAATGATAAATGGTGAATAGTTTTGTATACTATGAGCTGCTACAAACTGGTGATTCCATTACGGGCGATTGGTATAGGCTACAACTGATTCATTTGAGCCAAGCATTGCGAGAAAAAAGGGCGGAATATGAGCAAAGACATGACAAAGTTATTCTTCTGCATAATAACGGTCGGACTAATGTCTCAAAAGTCGTAAAAAACTATTTGGAAACGCTCAAGTGGGATATTTTACCACACCCGCTGTATTCACTGGACATTGCTCCTTCTGATTACTGGTTGTTCCGACGGATGCAGCATGATTTTGCAGGTCACCANCAGGAATAGAAAAAATAGCATTTTGCGTAGCCTGATGAAACACTTCACTCAATTAGGTTTTGCTTGTAAAACATTGCATATTTGTCAATATTTTTTGTGAAAATCCTAGATGATTGAATAGATTCTATAATAATAATATAAACCTGGTATGTTCGAATTTTTTTTTTTTTTTTTTTTGGCAATTCTTTGCTTTTTGAAACAATTTTTTTTATTTTTGGTGGGAGGTTAATGTATGCGTTAATTTTTTCTTTTTTTGTAGTTTATATTTAAACACACATATATATTCGCATTGCTGTTTTTAAGTAATAAAAATTAGAAATTGAATATTATATTGCGGGTGCTACACTAAATATTTTTTCAAAAAAAACTGTTTCTTTATGTAGTATTGTGTTTTTATTTAATCATATCATGATTTAATAAAAGGATTAGAAAAAAGGAAAATTTATTTTTGTTTTACGTTCATTAAAAATTATTATCCTATTAGCTTATTAACTACCCGATTTTAAATTTTTTTTTTTTTTGAATCTGGAAATTCTTATAAGAGTATCAGTAAATTTGTATTGATTTTCAGTAGAAAATTTCTTCTGTTAGTAACCACTTTTGTTGAATAAAACAGTCATTAAAGACATTATTTCAGACGATAGGACTTTGTAGTAGTACATATAAACTTTGGTTGATGGGAACGTTTTGTTTTTCGCAGAAAATTCTAATAATGAAAATAGTTGCACAATCACTTTTTAACGTTTTGAATTTGTCCTTATCTTTTAAATCGACATTTAAACTTATGTGTCAACATCCAATGTTTTAAAACGTAACGTTTCTGATTTGTTTAAATTAACCTTCTGTGTTAGCCTCGGCTTATTCTGAATTTCAATCTGGTGGCTTTCCTGCAAAAAAAAAAAAAATTCCCCTCCCATATTCATCCAGAAAATAAGTAACACAATGCACAAAAAAAATCTGTATAACTTTGTTTTTAGTCAATATGTTCATTGGAAGGAGTATTTTTTAAAAAGATTAAAATTGTACAATTTCAAACACTGTATACGATTGTACTATTATATATTTTACTATCATATATTTTACTATCATATATTATACTATTGTACAATTTCAAACATTGTACAAGCTAGTACTATCATATATATTATACTATAGTTCAATTTCAAACACTGTATAAGATAGTTCTATCATGCATTATACTATAGTACAATTTCAAATACTGCATAAAATAGTACCATCATATTTCGCACTATTATACCATTTTAAGTACTGTATAAGACAGTACTACTGTAAAATTTCACACACTGCATACGATTGAACTATCATGTATTATACTATAGTGCAATTTAAAATACTGTATAAGATAGCACTATCATATATTATGCAATTGTACAATTTCAAACATTAAGTTAGATAGTACTATCATACATTATACTGTAGACAATTTTGAATAGTATGCAAGATAATACTGTCTTATATTATACTTTTGTACAATCTAAAATATTGCATAAGTTAGTACAATTATATTTTTTATATTGTACAATTTCAAATAATCTATCAGATTGTACTATCATACATTATAATATAGTACGATTTCAAACATTATTTAAGATAGTACTATCATATATCATATAAGAAAACATACTATTGTATAATTTCTTTTACTGTATAAGAAAGGACTATCATATATTTTAATATTGTTCAATTTTAAACACTGCGCAAGATAGTATTAGCAAATAATTATTATATAATTTAAAATATTGTATAAGAAGCACGATCCTACATTATATAGTACAATTTCAAATACTTTATAAGATAGTACGAACTTATATTATATTTCAGTACAATTTCAAATGCTGCATAAGATTGTACTATCATATATTGTGCTATATAAAATAAATTTTAACTTGTAAATTGTGTTCGGCTTATAACTAAGTGAAAATTATTAAAGATATGAGTCAAACTATAAGCAGAAGATTAATAACAAAACTTACTTACTCAATTACAGGAACACAACTTCAAGAACCTGATGCCTTTTACACATAACTTGAGGAATATAATTTTAAGTTACACATATTAATCCATAAAAAAACAACAGCCAACTAAAAGAAACTAACATTAGTACCGGAAAACAACAGCCATTCTTATAACTTCTGTATCTGCTTTTACGAAATATAGGTACTAAAATTTGTACTTTTAAGGTGATGCCATTTTCCTGACAATTTTTCTTCGATAATAATCTTAAGGAATTCTTAGCAAAATGATAGACTGAGATTTTTAGCGGAACTTCTTACCGACTCAGGATGCATTTCCGAAAAGGGAAAATAGTTCCGGTGTCATTTGTTTTGACGTGTATCTTATTCCTGATCAAAATCAATACAAAATGTCTTCATCATAGAATTAAAAAAAGTTTTTAAAATAAACTCTTCATTCAATAATGGTACAAAACAACAGTGACTTTTTCAAACAAATAAATATTTTTTTAAGTAAATGCATTGGATCATATAATAAATGGAAACACGCATATGATTCCTTTTTACAATATTCTACCTCTTTTGCTTCACATTTGATACAAATATGAATCAAATGTGATCGAAGATGCAACTTGAACTTCATAAAAACACTTTTATTTGTGTTATTTTATTACAAACATTAAAAAGTTGTTCCATATATTGTATTAACCCTTTGACTCAAATGGGATATAGGTGTACCTTATATATATTTTTTTCTGACGCTATAATGACAAACAAAAATATATTTTGATACTTTTTAATCATAAAAGCAGTTTAATAATTATTCAAAAATCTGTTAGATTATCGGAATTATATTTACTCGAATCTGCTAAATCTAATCTGATATATATCTGCTAAAATCCAAAAAAGGAGATTGAATTTTTTTTCATTAATAATCAAAAATTTATTAATAATTGATTTCGTAAATTAAATAAATTTCAATGATGACTAATTGTTTCTCTTAGATCGAAATAGTCCTGCAGTGTACTGATCGTAAAAACATGGTTCCCACTAGAACACCGAAATCAAGCATCACTGGCTGCGCTCAGTAAGCGTGAGGGTGACCGCTTTGATCAGCTTGCATTGGGACCAAGGGTGCACGGTATCGGTTCTCGTTAAACTGTTCTATCATAAAGAGCTCGACTTCGCGTGCAGGTCGTCGGGCTACCAAAGCAGGGACGCCATCCCCTCTATAGAGCATCAAAATTGCGATGGCATGTCTTCAGATCATCCTCAGGGATATTTCAAAGGCTGTCGCCAATAGTCCATTATACAGTTGTGCTGAGAAGTAAATAAAGTACGTACCTTAAATCTAAATAAGTGCAAATTCGAACAATTATTGTTTGTCAGGAATATTTCATAACCATAAATTATTAAAATACTGATATGTTCACTTACTTTTATCCTAAATTATTATAATATAATGAGAATTATTATATTTAATAAAAACTCTGTGTCAAAGAGTTTATGCTTATCAAAGTTCAGCTCCTTAACCTTGTAATTTTAAATACAATCCAGAAAACAAAGTACAGGTAACCGGATGTCTAGTGCCAAGGCTTTCAATTCCCAAAAGATGTTCTGCAGAATCCTATAGGTTCTAGGTTCCGAAATTTACGATTTGTTTTAACAGATAAAAATTATATTGATATCCGACCAATAAACAATAATTTATTTAATATTCCGTTTGTTTGTATAAAATTTTTCATGTAAATTGCCAATAGAAAATTCCAAAAAAGACTTTTTTTCTATAACAATATATTAAATAAATGATGGAAAGGATGCGCACGCATAGAAAGAAATCTAATTTTCATTTCTCATCGAACAATCCATTATCGTCGATCAATTCAACTACCAATTTGAAGTAAAATAGTCAAATTCAAAAATAAGTCACTCCGCTTCTTTGATAACTATTCTCAGCATTATAACAATTGGTTTTTTAATAAATTCAAAACCGATATTTTTGGATCCTGGCTGATTTTACTACCGTAATTTTGATATATTGATATTCGAAATAAAATAGCCAGATTCCAGAATAAAGAATTCCATTTCCTTGATAACTATTTTCAACGTTTTAACATTTCTTTTTTGAAAACCAGCTGTATATCGGTATGTTGGCTGCTGACTGATTCAACTATTTTACTTTTGATGCCAACTAATTTTACTGCTTTACTTTATATATTGACTAATTTCATTACTTCTAAAACACATGCCTATTTTTTAAGCTTTAATTTACCATAAATACTTGCTAATTTTATTATTTTGTTTTAGGTACTGGTTGCGAGGAGCGAAAATAAAAAAGAATATTTCTACGGGTGAACATTTTTTTGGTGTAGTTCAATGTCAAAGAGCATTAGGCATGTATTACTCCAATCCTCAGTATTACAATCCCAAAAAAGCATTTATGTGGCATAAAAGAGCAAAAGAATCTGGAAATATTGCATCTAAAGGTAAATGGTATTATTCATAATTTATTTATATTTGTGTGAAAGAAAAAAAAATGCTTGATGAGGTGACCAGCTGAGTTTTAATTTTTTGAAAAAAAGACCTTTTTTTTTACATACTTTGTAAACTATTCACATTTGAGAAAAATGAACGATAATCTAAAGTTCCTAAAATACAAGAAGACACAAAGAAACAGCAGTGTTTGCAACTGAAGTGTTTAGGAATGGCACAGAAGTTTTTATTTTATTTTATTTTATTTTATTTTATTTTATTTTATTTTATTTTATTTTGTTTTATTTTATTTTATTGTAACAAGTGTAGAAACAGCCGATCCATGTTTGACATTACAGCTATCTCGATTCAGTCCCATAACCTTGTAAAAATCCAATCAGACGCAATCCAAAAGACTAGGAGTGATCCTGAATCAAACATTGGGGCAATCTAGCCCTCTTGCAGAATTTTTTAAATCCAACTAACCAGCATTTGCGTTGCATGGGGTGGAAAGCACCGACAATCTCCTCACGGTTAGCCCGATTCTAATCTATCTTCCGTCTACCACTGAGGATATTTTACATCAGCTTTGCTCTCTATGCAAGCCGGGAGCTGAATTTATATCGATCAGCAGTCACTAGGGTTCAAACTCACTGAGTTCTAACTCGGGTTCTAACTCAATGCACACAAAAGCTTTTTCTTCTTATTTTGTATCTGGCGTTGAACAGTCAACCTATTTTTAGGTTTGCAATTAGCAGTGTTAAATGAAATTTTTAACCCAACGCTGAAAACCAGGAGTGATCCTGGATCGTGCATTGGGACAAACTTGCCACCTTGAAAGGCTTTTTGATGAAACTAATCATCATTTGCATTACATGAGGAAGAAAACATTCCAAGTTTAGCCCGAAGATGAGGAAATTTTAATCCACGATACCACTGGAAATATCTTACGTCACTGTTCTCTGTACGAACCGGAAGCAGAATTCAAATCAACCAGCCATCGCTAGGATTCTAGCCTGGGAGTAGTCTTCTAAACAGCAACGATTTACACAAAAGTGCTATAGCAAATTTAAATAGCGTTTGTTTATTCAATAAGCAAAAGTTATAAGTAAAATAAGCTGTAAAATATATAGAAATATTTTTTAAGTCTTATATTCTGACGCTGGGATTTTCTTACTCACTTCAAGACGCTTAATCTTGCTTCTTTAGCATATGGAGACATTTCCAAAACTGCCAACTGTTCCAGTTTTTTTCGGAAGATTTTATTTCCATATTTAAAATGGTTGCGAAACTCATGTTCTTCCATTAAGCTTCTTGAATTTTAATAATAATTATAAATGAGTTTGACCTCCACTACATATAAATAATTACAACAACTATATATAAGCATTATAGCCAAAAGCATAGTATTTCAGCCTAGTCAAAATATAAATATATTTTTGAGTGAGATTGTTTTTCGTTAATAGTTTTTCTACGACTTGAAAAATCCATTCTCTTGAAGAGTGAAAGTTGGTAAGTATGCAGTGCAAATGAATTATACACTACACTTTCCCAGTGATGCCAATTGTTTAGCTTTCTGGAAATAGTTTTTCAAGTGGTAGAAAAATTTATGTTAATTCTTGGCTTAGCAAATTTGATTAATAGTTGCTTTGCTCACTACATTTAAACAATTCGAATATTCATGACTTGCCACTTTGTTCAAATCATTTCGATGTGAGCCTGTTTAAGAATCATTGAATTGGCGAAATGGAGCATATTATTGCAAGTTTTAGTTTCGAATTCTTTAAAACTTGATAAAGTTTTTTGTTGAAAGAGGAGCAGTTTAGCTTTGGAAGCTTACTCGGAAATCTATGTTTCCAAAACCAGATAATTTGCTAAGGGATAAATTTGAAAGAAAACATTAAGAATGCCATAACTGAAGAACATTACGAACGACGACTTCAAAAACTGTTTTTCAACACTTTTACAACCAAGAATAAACCGTGTATTGATGCCACAGTAATCGTATGAAATAAAAGTACACTTACCCATTTGTGTATATAATTTAAAAATGTGTAGAGTTTGAAAAAAATTAAATTTACTGATCAATAAAAATTCAAACAGAAAATATTTTTTACGTTTTTTTTATATTTTTTTAAACTCTTTTACATATTTATATACTTGTATATTTTCAGGAGCATTAGGTGTGATGTATTTGCGCGGAATCGGTACAGAAAAAAACTTGGAACTTGCCTACAAGTATCTGACACATGCAGCTGACTCCAATACCTTTGCTAAGGGTCATTTAACTGCTTATTACTTCCGAAGAAAATTGTTCCATAAAGCTGCAACCATCGGAAATGAGTATGATGGTATATTTATATACATATCCAACTATTAAAAAATAAGATGCAATTGTGATCACTTTTTTACTTACTTGCTATCGTTTTAGTGATTATGTAGTCTTGCAATCAAAATTCCAATCACTTTCTGACTAACTGGAGCAATTGAATCTCATTTGTAGCTCTGTGCCTTTCATTTATTTCATTAGAGTTGCAAGCAAAATTTATAGCCTTAGTACCGGAGCAACGAATTTACTGTCAATCAAAATTCTAAACACTTTCCGACTAACTGGAGTTCTCATCTTTCCACTGGATATTTGTATCTAAAGACAATGCAAGTTTCAATAATTTACTAACCAATATCTATCGCCGTATTATCTCCAAAAGGGATTCAGCGTCACCGCAAATTTCAATAATCTCCTAACCAGAACCGTGAGGGCTCAGGGGATAGAGCACTCGCCTCCCAATGTGATGCTCAATTTGAATCCAAGCGTTGGTTGGTCGATACGAATTCCGCACCCGGCTCGCACCGACCATAGTTCTGACGTAAAATAACCTGAGTGGTAGACGGAACATGGGTCTGAGTCCCCATGCCATCAGGCTAACCGAGGGAGGTTTTCGTGGTTTTCCTCTTCATGTAACGCATATACGAATTAATTCCATCAAAAAGTCCTCCACTAAGGAGATTTTCTCCCAACAGTTGATCCAGGATTTTCCTTATCTTCTGGATTTGGTTCAAAATTACAAGGCTACGGAGTTGAACATTGATAGTCGTAAACTGAAAATTGGATAAAGTTTTCAATGACGGTTATAAAATAAAATAAAATTTCCAAGCATTTATTTACCGCTGTATTATCTCCAAAAAGGATTCTGCGTCAGCACAAATTTCAATAATTTCTTAACCAAATAATTTCTTCATTATTTAATCTTTTCAATATTTCTTTCTCTCTTTAATTTCTTAAAGGGATTCAGCGTCAGTACAAATTTCAATACTTTCCTAACCATTACTTATCACCATATTATCTCCAAAAGAGATTCAACGTCAGTACAAATTTCAATACTTTCCTAACCACTACTTATCAACATATTATCTCCAAAAGGGATTCAGCGTCAGCACAAATTTCAATACTTTCCTAACCACTGCTTATCACCATATTAACTTCAAAAGAGATTCAACGTCAGTGCAAATTTCAATACTTTCCTAACCACTACTTATCACCATATTATCTCCAAAAGGGATTCAGCGTCAGCGCAAATTTCAATACTTTCCTAACCACTACTTATCAACATATTATCTTCAAAAGGGATTCAGCGTCAGCACAAATTTCAATACTTTCCTAACCACTACTTATCACCATATTATCTCCAAAAGGGATTCAGCGTCAGTACAAATTTCAATACTTTCCTAACCACTACTTATCACCATATTAACTCCAAAAGAGATTCAATGTCAGTACAAATTTAAACACTAACTATTTAACTCAGTATTATCTCCACAAAAAATTCAGCGTCAGCACAAATTTCAATACTTTCCTAATCACTATTCATCGCCGTATTATCTCAAAAATGGATTCAGCGTCAGCACAAATTTCAATAATTTCTTAACTACTATTTATCGCCGTATAATCTTCTAAAAGGATTCAGTGTTAGCTCAAATTTCAAGCATTTCCCGACTAGTTAAAGTGTTTAGAAGAGCACTTGAACTCCGGAACATAAAAAATAAATATTTTCACCCGTTTCCAGGTTGATACAGGCAGAATTTTTACCGACAAACATAATTTCTCTTTGATCAAATTTCGACCTTTTTCTGAGCAGTTAGAGTGCTCAACTTTCAGCAAGAACACTGTGTTTGATGACAATGCAAGTTTCAATTGTTATTTGTCCTCTACAGGCAGAATTTTTATCGCCAAATATAATTTATGTTCCGTCAAAATTGTGATCTTTTTCTGACTAAGTAGAATGCTCAAACTTAATATCCATAACAGCTCTGTGAATAATTCTAACACACGTCAAATTTTTTTTTTCTCTCCGAAATATGTCAGAAACTGCACCGCTATCACTCTAACAGACAAAAGACTAAAAAGAAGAAAATAAAGAAATAGAATAAAATTTAAATAAGTGTTTCAAATAGATTAAAAAAGAAAAATTACTCTGGTTTTTAACTGTCTTATAGCGCAGGGAGTTTAACTTTGGAATTAAACGTTTAATATTGGAAGTTCTCCATTTGTCTGTTTTGAAAGCGATGAACCCTATGTTTTTGTTTTAGTTCTGACAATAAATAAATTTCCTCTTTTCCAGTTTTTAATGTTTTTTTCATTTAAAAATATTTTGTGGTATTTAGTTTATAATTTATGTTTGAAATGAATAGGACTTTTAAAACATTTAAAGAATGTCTGAAGATTTTAATATTAAATATTTTTATTTGATTTTTTTAAAATTAAAATTGTCTTGGAACTTCATTAATGGGTTATTGGCGATGGTTTAGAATTCATCCTTAATGTTGATCTGACTACAATACTTACGCATGCTTGCATTGTACGATCACTATTGAAATCGGCTATCTAGCGGTTGCGGTAATCAACTGATCTCCTTACCAAGCTTGTCAACAGCCCAAATCAGGCTTGAATTCTAAAACCACCGGCCACATAACGCTAGAGTGACCACTAAACTAAACATAAGCTTTGTTATGAGTATAGGCGAATTATATCTGAAAGAGAACGTACACAGAACAACAACCATTTTATTAATGGTAAATAAGTTAAATATTTTTGAAAAAAAGTCTTGAAATAAGTAATTTAAATAATTATTTATTCTCGTTTTTTTAATTAAATAACTAAAAAAAATGAGCTGGAAATTTTGAAACTGACTTTGATTCTATGCGCTGCGCTTATTTTAATTATACAAAGAGTTTTCTTTTATCAACTATACTTTTGAAGATTCACTGTAGCTAAAATGTAATACATGGAAAATTCTCGGCTGCATAAAAGTAAAATAATTTATGATATTTCAATGTAATTTTAACTCTTTTTGGTATGCTCATATTATTGAAATCATGTTTCCTTATCAGATTGATTTTATATCTTTGATGCAACTCCGCTGAAACAAAAAGTTGAATTCTAAACATCTACAAGCGTAACCCTAAATCCTTATCTTACATATAAAAAGTAATTTCCATATCTGAAATTTGTGTGCCAAAGTAACGGTAATTAAAATTATTATTAAAATTCCATACAATAAACATAGCTTTTTTGCTTGGGTGTGAAAATAGCATCGCAACTTTATACATTTAAATCTCTGTTAAATACTGTTCGACTCTCAAGAGAACTCCTCCAGATTAATAGATTCGCATATGTTACTATGGTTACAAAGGAAGGTCACTTGGAATTTTTGTGTGTTTGATTTGTTCAAATAGCTAGTGGTTTTGCGTTAGTGTAGAGAGGCAGCCCAGGCCCTTTCGTCAATTCCTCCAATTTGAAATGATTTTGGTCTGATTTCCATGATAAGCAGACAACCGCGGACTTGAAGTCGAGAGGAGTTCTCTTGAAAGAAGGGCAATAGAACTGATTCTGCCTACATTAAAGAACAAACTTGTTTATTTGTAGATTGGATGCTGAGAAAGATATTGAAAGTTTGGCAAAGCAAGAGAATTGTACAATAAAGGATATAAAGAAAGGAATAGCCATGGGATGTTATTACTTAGCACTTTGCTTGGAGCACTCAGAAAATATAGGAGACATTGAATATGCAAAAGAGTTAATTACAAAAGTAATTTTAAAAATTAAGCATGTTGTACTTATTAGAGGAATATGCGAAATTTCTTTCTGAAAATCATCAACTGCTAAGCGTAGTCAGTTGTAAATACATAAAGAATTCAAATTTTTCCAATTTTTCTTAAAGATATCGGTTTTCAGTTGAAAATATTTGTCCTGTAAGAAGCTTTCGAGTGGTTTAATTTCAACCTAAGACAACGTACTTTTACAAGCTCCCTACAAAATCACCACCATGTTTTATCCCAGTAAATTCAATCCGTACTTTTAAAAGCTATTCTCTATTCATTTCCCTACTTTTATGAGATATTCTACATTTATTTCAGTACTTNCCCAAAATTTTTTTTATTTTTTTTTTGGCCGCCTAATTGGCGTTTATTTGTAGAATTGCTCATATAGAATTTAAATTTTCCAATTTTTCTTAAAGATATCGGTTTTCAGTTGAAAATATTTGGTCTGTAAGAAGCTTTCGAGTGGTTTAATTTCAACCTAAGACAACGTACTTTTTCAAGCTCCCTACAAAATCACCACCATGTTTTATTCCAGTAAATTCAATCCGTACTTTTAAAAACTATTCTCTATTCATTTCCCTACTTTTATGAGATATTCTACATTTATTTCAGTACTTTTAAAAGAGCCACAATTTCTATTATTAATGAGATTTGTTAAATAACCCCCATTTTGCATATATTTTTTTTTAATATTTTTAAAAACGGGAATCAAAATTACTCATTTTAGGAATTGCAAATTAATATTGAAAGGAGTAAGGAAAAAAAAACAATGACACTATTGAGGATGCAAATCACTAGCGATCACATCGGCATTAAAACATGAAAACCTATTTAACTGCAATGAAAAAACAGAAAGCTATTGGAAAACTTTTATTCGGCAAATTTCTAAGCTTCATTAAGCAATTAAGGTGGATTCGATGCTTTTTATACAGTTTTCGAATTAATGATTTCGATAGTGTTTATGATTATTTTTTGCTTCAACACAAATTAGCAAGCTTGTAACTTAAGTTTTGATTCTAAAAAATATAATCAGGGTGCTATATGAAGTATAGTTCGTTCACCAGAAGTTGAGACTTGGCTCCACCTCCTGGGACGCAGAGTTCATTTCAGCGCGGGAGTTAGAAGAGAAACATCTCCGTTGTTGAAATTGAGACTACCCTTAATTTGCGCCAAACACAAAAAGTAAATTCTTTTTCAGTCACTTACTTTGCTTTATCATCTGTTATTATACCTTTTGTTACACTTGCTAATTAAATATAGTTTAAATTTAAAAACTGCTGTTCTCCCAGTGAAATGTCTCATAAAGGACAAACTATTCACTCAAAAGAAAGAAATATCATAAAAAAAGGGTGCAAAATATCATCAAATTTATGAAATATTTATTGTTAAAAAATGCACATAAAGTTTGCGAAATAAATATTTTTGCCAAACGATCGCCAAATAGCAACATTGTTCAGGATTGCTCCCAACCTTTTCCCAAAAATAGCGAATTAGTATCGTCGTATACCACGTGATGAAGGCGGAGCCAAGTGCCAACTCCTGGTGAACGAGCTATATATATTCTGTGAGATATCCAATGCATTGCATTCAATGACAAAACGGCAATGTTTCATACTTTTAACGGGTAACATATATTTTTTAATTTGTTATTAATACTTAAAAGTTGCTTTTAGAGCAAAAAGTAAGTTCATTTTATGTTTTGCTTTTTTTTATTAAACATGAAAGATAAAATTTTATAATAAATTAAATTTGAGTTTCACAGTAATCGGAAATTGTTACAATAGAAGTTCACAATTTTATTTAGCTGAACTATGAAATAAAATGGTAAAATTTAATTTATAGAGTAAATGTTTAGATATAGATACTGAAAATTACTTAGTAAACTACGAATTCGTTTCTAAGTATCCAGCAAAGCACCCACAGCATGTGTTATTCAATTTTAATTATTTCGAATTAGGTATGAATATTCCACCAATTATTTCAATTAATCTTAGAAAGTATTCTTGTTTTTTTTTAGGCTATAAAATTATCACCAGAGGTTGCCTACGATATCCATGCAAAAGCTATTTTAGGAATCGCTTAGCTACTTAAGAGTGGTTTATTTCATCAATTCAAGCTATCTGACAAGATCTTATATTTATGATGACGATGTAATTCAAACAATAAACCACAATTGACAGATATCCTGACTCTTGTTTCATGTCACTTATTTATGTAATGAATAATGCATTTATGGATGATGTTATCAATATAAATGTAAACAACGATCTCGAGCTCTTGGCCTGTTCTATTTCCGTTTAGAAAGTATACAGCTGTTTACTACAGTTTATTCTTCGAGGCGATATTTTAAACCAGATAATTTTGTTTTAAATAAAAGTAATAAATTATATAATTTCTTAGCTCAAATCTGCTGCATTTCAAAAGATATTAATGATATTAAGTAATTCTGGTGAGTTTGAAATGAAAATTTGTTTTAGTTATTTATAGGCGTATTGTTAAAAAAGGTGACATGTTTGCTAGATTTAGAAAGAGCTCGCTTTATTGGCAGTCCCTATTTTTCCTCTTTTTACTTGTTTATTCTTGTTTGTTCTTTTTTCAAGTACTATCATGCTAGAATTAGTATTAGAATATTGTTCGAGTTAAGTTCATTTTACAAATTATCATTTAGGGTTAAATTTCGAAGTTGGTATATTGTTGACAGGGTAAGAAATATTTTAAAACGATTTTTTTCTTCAAATCATGACTCTTAGGTCTTGAAATGACAGGTTTTCAAGTAACGATACTTTTAACGATTTTTTTTAAACAAAAATTTTAAATCAGGTAACAAATACACGCAAATACTACTCTGGAGAGTCTCAAAATACAATAATCACGTTGTGAGTTAAATTGTTTCAAAACACCCCGGAAACAGTAACACAGAAGTATAAGCAGTAAAAAAGCTTGCAGCGCCTTAGAGTAGTACGAGGGTTGTTATTTATATTTCTGGCCTAATAATGAAAAAACAAATATGTAGGATCGAAATTGGTTTTATTGTTTTTCAAAATATTCTCCATGATGATCAATACACTTTTGCATGCGTTTGAACCAATTTTCAAAGCACTTTTTCCAGTCCGATTGAGGTAACTCCAAAACATGCGTTTTGAATGCATCAACCGCTTCTTCGGGGGTCGAAAATCGTTGTCCACGTAATTTATTTTTGATGTGTGGGAATAAGAAGAAGTCATTGGGTGCCAAATCAGGGCTGTACGGCGGATGACCCATCAGTTCGATCTTTCGCTCCGTCAGAAATGCCTTTGTTTGAGTCGATGTGTGAGAGCTCGCATTGTCATGATGAAGAATGATTCGCCTGTTCTTCTGCTTTTTTCGAATTTCTCCGATGACTTCTGGCAAACAAATGGTCGTGTACCATTCAGAATTGACCGTCCTGCGTTGCTCTAACGCCACTGTTGCCACATGACCGTTAATGCCGAAGAAACAGGCAATCATTTGTTTCGATGTGCTTCTTCCTCGAACAACTTTTGTTGGTTTTGCCTCGTCTTGGAAGACCCATACAGTTGATTGCTGTTTTGTTTCCGGCTCATATGCATAGATCCATGATTCGTCACCTGTGTAGATGTTATACACAGCCTTTGATGTACCTTGAACGTATTTTTCCAACATTTCCTTGCACCAATCGACACGAGCCTTTTTTTGAGCGTTTGTCAGATTATGCGGGATCCAACGCGAACAAATTTTTTTTACGCTCAAATGTTCATGCAATATTTTATTGATGCTAGTCATACTAATGTCCAAAGACGCCTCTATCTCACGGTATGTCACATGACGATCTTGCTTTATCAGTTCACGCACAGCATCGATCTTTTCTGGCACAACAACGGATTTTGGACGACCTGCACGGGATTCGTCCTGGATCGAACATCGACCACGATTAAATTCGTTATACCAATTTTTTACAGTGCTGTAGGATGGCGCTTTATCGCTGAATAAAGAATTAAGTTCATCGAAGCACTCTTGTAATCAATTATTTAACTACACATTATGAAAAATAATGGCACGAAAATGTTCACGATTCAATTCCATTTTTTGAAAGAGAAGAACTGTTCAATTTACTGTCAACAACACAAATGAAGCTATAATGATAAATCATCTGCTGAATTTATGTTTAAAAATATCAAACTTTCGATTAAAATCGTCTGCGGTCGCCTAGCAACACTTACTGTTGCCAAGGCCAGAAATATAAATAGCAACCCTCGTAAACACTATCCATTCAGATTCGTGTACCTGAAATGAATTAACTGACACCATTGTCAAGGATTGAGGAATGCATTGAATGCTAATATCGTCCAAATTCGCAATAACCTTCAAGAGCCGTAGAAGCTCAAAGGTTAGAGAGTCAGGTTGCGGTCCAGAGAGGCCGGGATTCGATCCTCTACTCCGCTAAGATCCATCAGTATACGTGATCGAAAAATCTGTGGAATCGAAAGTCTGTTGTCAGTTGTTGAGAAGTACCATGGGTAACCATCTGAAGAAATTTCCTTTCCCTTCAGGTCTATGTTTAAATTGAGGTAATGGTCTCACAAATAAGTGATGCTGCCATCTATTCGTGGGGTTCTGAACCAAAGGGTCCTTTTACTTTTGTGGTTCTCTCTCGTTAAAACGAAAGGCTCTCCTTCCTGACTTAATGCCCCAAAGACCAATGGTTGGCGAGCTTGGATTGTCAAATTGTCATTCAAAACAGCACAACATATTTAATTCAACTATACAATAGTTCAACTTAGGCGAAAACGTAGTTCAATTTAGTTAGGTTGCATAAAATCTGCACATCATTTAGGTTCAACTTAGTAATATCATGGTTCAGTTTGAAATCGATTTTTCTGGAACTGATATTGTTCCGACTGGGATGATCAGATTATATTTAGTTGCTGGAAAAGTATTTTCACTTTTTCTCAACAAAGAACTTAATTTTGTTTTTTCACTGACAACTTCCCACTTAAACCGCAAGATCATTATAGAATTCACCAGATGATATAGCAAAACGTGGCATTTGTTTATGTTAGAAACTGTTCTTTCCATTCCATTTCGAGTAAGTCAAGCCCGTCAAATATCAATTCTCTAAAGTGACACATTCTATATTCTTTCACAAAGATTTCAATTATTTCACTATATATTTCTTATTTTACATTATGACAGACACGAAGCCATGCAGAACTTAGTAATGTTAACGCCATGTTAACAAAGTAATTATTCATTGAAGTTGCTAAGTACACAAATCAACATCACGCTTGCAACATGAACAGAAAAATAAATCTAAGGAAAAGTCTCAGACAAGAAAGACATATATTTTAACTAATTCGATGAGCGATACGAAGTTGTATTTATTATAACTTCACGTTAATTAACGTTCTAACTTTATTTGAAGAAACTTAGGTAGAATTTATCACGCCATCTAGTTTATAAGCGATCAACTGGCACTGAGGTCATAATCACAAGTTTGTATATCGTCTTCTTCTCGAGTTGCAAGTATCCAATTGATGCAAAGTGTCAAATAATAATCCGTCGATCCCAGCGAAGACTGGTCAATACGAATTCCGCACCCAGCTTGCACCGACCACAGTGCTGACGTAATATATCCTCTGTGGTAAGCGGATCATGAGTTAGAATCCATTTGCCGTCAAGATAAACGTGGAAGGGTTTCGTGTTTTTCCTCTCCAAATAACGCAAATGTACAACGGCAAAATTTCTCCATATAGAGTAAACTAACCAGTAAAGGAACACTTAAGCTTCGCTTGCCTTTTAAGAAATCATATTAATTTCAAAATTCGTAATTTTACTTAAATGACCGTGTCAACATATTTGTTTCTAATTGCAAATTATGTAAAAAAAATTTCATAGAACATACATAATATTGTTTTAAAGTTTTGAAGGTTCAAATAACAAGTATTAAGAAGACCAAGTGAAGGAACAGCTCTTACCACTGAAGGAACACCCAGTAAAGGAACACTTAATTTTGGTTATTTTTTAATGCTCTTTATGAATTTATAAGCCATACAAATATTTAAAAACAATCCTGTTCTTGAAATCATAACATATAAATACTTGAAAAATTTTAAATTTTTTTTGTAATCATGAATTGAAAATTAAAGTGTCAACATATTAACACATACTGTTCATTCACAGGGAAATCTATACCCAGAATAGGAACATGCCTGTTCCCTCACTGGTTGGAAGTTGTTTTTCGTATTTTTAACATACTTTTGATGCGGAACATCACTAAAGGTACAAGAAAATTAAAGTTTATCTTTTATTTTCATTAACTTAGAAAAAAAACCAGT